GACAGTGGTTTGGACAAGTCCAGAGGAGGGACAGTGGTTTGGACATGACCAGAGAAGGGACGGTGGTTTGGACAAGTCCAGAGGAGGGACAGTAGTTTGGACATGTCCAGAGGAGGGACGGTGGTTTGGACAAGTCCAGAGGAGGGACGACGGTTTGGACATGTCCAGAGGAGAGACAGTGGTTTGGACAAGTTCAGAGGAGGGACAGTGGTTTGGACAAGTCCAGAGGAGGGACGACGGTTTGGACAAGTCCAGAGGAGGGACGACGGTTTGGACAAGTCCAGAGGAGGGACGACGGTTTGGACATGTCCAGAGGAGGGACGACGGTTTGGACAAGTCCAGAGGAGGGACGACGGTTTGGACATGTCCAGAGGAGGGACAGTGGTTTGGACATGTCCAGAGGAGGGACATTGGTTTGGACATGTCCAGAGGAGGGACGATGGTTTGGACATGTCCAGAGGAGGGACAGTGGTTTTGACATGTCCAGAGGAGGGATGATGGTTTGGACATGTCCAGAGGAGGGACAGTGCGTATATTGGAAGAAGGACGTTAGAAATGCAGCTGCAGGAAAAAGACAAAGAGGAGACATATGGAGGAAGTTAGAGAGGACATGGAGGTAGTTGGAGTGAGGACAGAGGACACAGAGGACAGAGTGAGATGGAGGAGGACTCGCTGTGGAGACACTTGACGGGGGAACACCTGAAAGAAGAAGAAGATCATTTCCACCATTTTTCTAACAGCAGTGAATGAGGCAGGGTGCCGTCTTGCCAAAAGACAAATGGACGTCAACATACGAGCCTGTCGGTTTAAGAACAAAAACCGCTTGTTATTTATAATTAACTCCTTCAAAAGCTTCAACAACGCCTAAACAAATGAAATATAAATCATAAATGGAAGTGTAATAACTAATAAAAATAATAATAATCTGAGCTAACAGCACGCTGTTTTTATTTAAACTAATGTTTGTCTGAAGAAACTACACGCATCACATGCACTGCATGCGCTACATGCGCTACATGCACTGCATGTGGTACAAGTGGTGGAATGACCAATGAAGAAACTCTGATGACTGCTTCACTGAGTGGCTACAAGAAAACTAGCACTGAGCCTGTAAATGAATCAGAATGTGTTGTCCCCAGTGTTCAGTGTTTCAGCCACAGATGCCTCTGACACCACCCTGTTCACACGACGTAGTTTTCTGACACCACCCTGTTCACACGACGTAGTTTTCTGACACCACCCTGTTCACACGACGTCGTATTCTGACACCAACCTCTTCACAAGACATCGTTTTCTGACACCACCCTGTTCACACGACGTAGTTTTCTGACACCAACCTCTTCACACGACGTAGTTTTCTGACACCAACCTCTTCACAAGACATCGTTTTCTGACACCACCCTGTTCACACGACGTCGTTTTCTGACACCACCCTGTTCACACGATGTCGTTTTCTTACACCAACCTGTTCACACGACGTCGTTTTCTGACACCAACCTGTTCACACGACGTCGTATTTTGACACCACCCTGTTCACATGACGTCGTTTTCTGACACCACCCTGTTCACATGACGTCGTTTTCTTACACCAACCTGTTCACACGATGTCGTTTTCTGACACCAACCTGTTCACACGACGTCGTTTTCTGACACCACCCTGTTCACACGATGTCGTTTTCTGACACCAACCTGTTCACACAACGTCGTTTTCTGACACCAACCTGTTCACACGACGTCGTTTTCTTACACCAACCTGTTCACACGACGTCGTTTTCTGACACCAACCTGTTCACACGACGTCGT